ATATGCGGAGTAGCGTGGCTTCCATTCATGCAAGGATTGGTAGAATCTCTTGGGTCTTGAAATGGGGGAGGCCTGCAACACACAGTTTCACAGATCACTAAGTGGCAATAAAAATTAACCATCTGTATAAAACATCATATTTATTAAGCTTCTTAAGCGACGGATGACATTGTCCCTGAAATAATAAATGAATCTAAAAATTCTGTAAACAATTTCCACTCTTAAAAAAAAAAAATAAGAAGAAAGCAGCAGCATCTTACATCATGCAAGTTTCATACACGTAGGGATAAGTACCTCTACAACGTTTCTTAAACTGTCATGCACTTAATTAATTTATATGTATTCAGTGGACAAACAACAGTACAAGATGATGCCACCTTTTGCGATTCCCTCAAGTCTTCTGCAAAACTCACTTTCTATCATGAACAAAACACCACTTGCTTGTGATATGAATGGTCAAATGTGGGTGCCTCCAAAAAGTGGATTTATTTCCCAGTAACCATGGTCCCAAACCAGTCTAATCCTAGTTTAGAATCCTAGGTTGCAGTCCCAGTGCCTAGTGAAGGGGAGAGGGCAGCGATGGCAAGGAGCCCCTCTGCAACAACCTGCCAATAACACAATCACACACAGCGTTTTGGATAGAATGTGGAATAAAATGGCCACAAATTTTATTGGTTACAGCTGTTAGAAGCCTTGGCACAGCATGGGTTCATCAGATCCTGTCACTGACTGGCCCACCTGCCAGTTGATGTTACTGGATCCCACAAACACATTGCCACTAACTGGTCTCCCGTCACCTGAGCATGAGGGTAACCTGTTGGCAGCCCCCATACTGGCCATGCCCCTTGAAAGCCCTCATCCCCCAGATGCCTTAAGGGGACCCCCATATACCAGGAAAACGGCATGCAGGCCAATTTCCTAAAATGGACCCAGATCCATGCTAATACTGCCCTGAGGTTGTGACAGATAAATGAAGCAGAAAACATCATCAACAAGAACATAATCTGCACTTCCCCATAACATACCCCCCCCAAGCAAGGCTATACACAAATCCCACAATCTTCCCCTCAAGCACTAACATATAGGGAGGGAGGGATGGGAGGGCAAGCGATCCCCAGATGCCCAGGTGAGGTGGCCGGGTGGCATGGCATGTTTTCCCCTGGTGGTCATTCCCCTCCCCCGGGCCCAGTTCAGAGACCCCATCATAGGCCTACCTGGGGAAAGGGAGGGCCAGGTTTTCCTGCCATTGCTGCCACCCAGCACACAACCTGCCAGCGTGGCCCATCCTGCCTGGCAGAACGTGGTCACCATGGCTGTCTGTCACCCTGCTGCCTCTCCCTATTGAGCAAGACCACAAATGGGACCCACGGTAAGTCGGGGGCTCCATTTATGGAGAAGACACAAACTCATATTTGTCCGGGTTACCCACATTTGAATGTTACAACTGGATACTTTTCACTGGGAAGGTCTTTGATTAAATTCCATATATAAAGGGAAGAGGGAGAGAGCACCAAGCCAGGTTCATGCACATCATGAACCTTAAGGAAATTTACAAGATGGTTTCAGGTCGAATGGCCTCCTCCAAACAAAACCAGGAAGCATATCCATTAAAAGTACAAAGAGCACCTTCATTCTCGTACCTCCTCACCTTCCATTACCCTCTCTTTTTTCTAACCAAAAACACAGCCAACTATTTACTTTACAAAATTTATCTCCCACCTTCCTGCTCTCACAAGGGCCACCAAGATGCCAACAAATTAAAACATACAACAACACATCATTAACACAATACATACAAAGGCATAAAAACAACAACTTAAAATACTGGGCAGGAAGGAGTGATCAGTGAAGGGATGCCAAACAAAATAAAAAATTCTTCAGGCACTGACGAAAGATGAAAACAGAAGGGATAAATAAATCTCCCTTGGGAGAAAATTCCAGAGTTTTGGTGCCACAACCAAGAAGGCCTTGTCTAATCTCAGAAGGTGGCAGTACCTGAAGCAGGGCCTCTGAAGTTGTGTTCGGATAGGTTCAAAAGGGAGTGTCTGCATTTCAGATACATTGAAATCTTACAGGCACTGGCGAAAGATGAAAACAGAAGGGATAAATAAATCTCCCTTGGGAGAAAATTCCAGAGTTTTGGTGCCACAACCAAGAAGGCCTTGTCTAATCTCAGAAGGTGGCAGTACCTGAAGCAGGGCCTCTGAAGTTGTGTTCGGATAGGTTCAAAAGGGAGTGTCTGCATTTCAGATACATTGAAATCTTACATTTTACACAGGTGGATAAGCATGTCTGCTTAGCCAATGAGATACATGACAGCCAATCACAATAAGCAATGCACAGTAAGGTAACTCTAAACCAGGCACCTGTGAACTTTTTACAGAAGCAGACTATTCAACATTTCCACCTAATCAAGGGCAAGAAAGGCACAGAGTTCAACACTTAGCTAGAAATGACTTCTAAGTTTGTAGCTAAGGGCTTCAGACATGCAAAACAATTGCATTGTGCGTATTAGCAAACAGATTTCCTAACAAGGTAAGAGGTTAGAGAGGTCCCTAATGTTTTGACAAAATAGATTTGCATTAGCTTATGATGGAAGCGGAAGGCTACCATGATTTCTTCTGTTACAATAAGCACCAACTGTGACACTCACCCATCAACATTACATACATCACTCACCTCAGCAGTTGACACACTAGCTACAGAGAATATCCTATTTACCAGTGACAATATATCACACACTAGGAAATATACTACTTCACAGCGTGATCTGTGCACAACCTGCAATTTCCCCACTTCTGCGAATAGGCAGATGATCTGTTAGAGTGCTGGGAACACAAGTTCTGTAAAAATCTATAAGGAAACTGCTTTAGGGCATCATCCCATGAGTTTTTACTAAATGTTCCTATGAGCCTCTCTTATGCCAGTTTGGCACATGTATGAATGACTAAACACAGGCTTGAATGTGCAGCAATAATATTTTTAAATGTGTTGAGAGACATACAGAAAGGGGTATCTCCACAGCTGTTCCAACTTTCATGCACACTTCCACTTCTGAAGAGATCTATATTTTCCAAACCAGACAAGTTGGGGGAGGGAATCATCTTCTTAGCATGAACTGTAGTACAATGCAGAGGATTGGGAAAAACACATGTATTCAAAGAATAAATTGGGGAGAGACAAGGAAGGAAGAAGGATATCTGAAAACATATAGCAAAAATACCAAGTGCTTATACAGCTGAAGGCAAAAAACAACTGCATTACCAACAAGGAAAAACAGCACAAACTGATTTAATTTGATTTTATGTGATACATGATTTTGTATTTGCATCTTGTGACTTCCATACTTTAATGAAACAAATCAGACAATCTTCTCACTAAATATGGTGGTACAGCATGATCGCACCTTCTCAGCAGTTCACATTTAGACATACGTTTTTGATAGGGCACACTCATATAAAATCCAACAAGTCTTGTAGCCCCATAACCAAACAGTCAATTCTAGAATTGATTGCAATATGTAAATCTCACTACTCAAGCCTATGTACTATGAGCTGTATCTATGCAGGCCATATTCAAATATTATGCCCAGATGTGGATGCACAGATTTGGATGGGCTTGTTGGGCCATTAAGAGATTGAAAACATGAAGCTGCCTCATATTGACTCAGACTACTGGTCAATCAAGGTCAATATTGTCTACTCTGACCAATGCTCCCTCTAAGCTGTAGAGTCTTGTGAGCAAAAATTCTGTGAGCTACTGGCATTAAAGTTGTGAGTGAGTGATTTGGCTACAGCATAAATTAGTTTGCTCTGGAGCCATCCTTCCTGAGCAAAGACAAAAATATGTGAGCCAGAGGCTAAAAAACTGAGCCAGCTCACACTAACTCAGCTTAGAGGGAACACTGACTCTGACTGACAGTGACTCTCCAGAGTCTCAAGCAGACATCTTTCACATTACTTACTGCTTGATCATTATTATTTTTTTGTTTGAACAGGAGATACCAGAAATTAAACCTAGGGCATTCTGCATGGCAAGCAGATGCCCTTCCACTGAGCATTCCTAGAGCATTCCGAGAGCCAGTTTGGTGTAGTGGTTAAGTGTGCGGACTCTAATCTGGGAGAACCGGGTTTGATTCCCCACTCCTCCACTTACACCTGCTGATGTGACCTTGGGTCAGTCACAAGCTCTGGCACAGCTGTCCTTGAAAAAGAGCAGTTTGTGTCAAGAGTTCTCTCAGCCCCACCCACCTCACAGGGTGTCTGTTCTGGAGAGGGGAAGGGAAAGGAGTTTATAAGCCGCTCTGAGACTCCAAGTGAAGGGCGGGGTATAAATCCAATCTCTTCTCTCTTCTCTTCTTCTTCTTATCTTGTTCCCTCACCATTTGTGGACAGAAGAGAGGTAGTTGAGAAGCACCTGGCTGAACTGAATAAGTACAAATCCCCCAGGCCAGATGGTATGCACCCAAAAGTGCTCAAAGAACTGTCTAGAGAGCTTGCAGAGCCTTTGCCCATCATCTTCAAGACCTCTTGGAGGACAGGAGACGTGCCACAAAACTGGAGGAGGGCAGATGTTATCCCAATTTTCAAAAAAGGGAGGAAGGATGACCCAGGAAAGTACAAGCCAGTCAGTTTGACCTCTGTCCCAGGGAAGATACTGGAGCAGATTTTAAAGAGATCAATCATCAAGTTTTTTTTTTATTCAGAGTTTATTAATTTCTATAATGCACAATAATACAAAATATTAATCTTATTTTCCTACAGTCTATTATATTATTCACCCTCTTTATTAATAGAACATGTTATCCGGCTTATCCATTAACTCCTATTTTACCAAATTACTAAACAAGGATTACTTCCTATTTTGAAATCATATTGTCTTGTACCACCCGTTACATGTAATTCCATTTAGTTTCCTAAATTCTTCATTCCATACTCACATTAGTTACAATACATATATTTACGTAACATTGGACATTCTTCAGTTAACTATTTACTATTGCATACTATCTAAAGGACAACTTGGAGATCCGGGGAAATCAGCATGGATTTGTCCCCAACAGGTCCTGCCAG